TTCTCGTTGCAGTCGTGCCTGTGCGAAAAGAATAGGGATAATTAATATAAACCACGCAGTAAGACTGCACAATTAAAAAATTCTCAGTGACGTACGAGTTCTTCCTCTCTTAATTGTTGTTCGACTTCCCTTTCTGCTCGTCTTTTGTTGAGCTTTTCTAATTCCAACTAATAGCGAGAGAAGAGGAAAGTAAGTAGACATGTAGTTGTAAAGCACGTGTTGAAATACACATACTCTTGTTTCTTCATGTCTTTCTCGCTCGCGACGCTTTGCCTCTTCTGGAGAGATACCCAGCTTTTTATCTCTCTCTTTCTTTTTTATCCATTCAAACTGTTGGCCGAGATTATCGTCACCGAATGGATTATCAGCATTCGAATATGCAGAAAATTCTACCAAGGACTGCTTCTCTAATAATTCTCGTTGCTAAATCGATCGAATTCGTCGTCAACTCGTGAAAGACAGACATACTGTAGTTAAAATGCAGTACTTACCAACCTTCTTTTCCTTTCGCTTCTCTTCTTTTTTCTCTCTTCTCTCTTTTTTCTCTTTTTTTTCTTTCCTGCTCTTTCTCCTCCCGCTATCTCTGTCTCTGTCTCTGTCTCTGTCTCTGTCTCTGTCTCTGTCTCTGTCTCTGTCTCTGTCTCTATCAAGATCGCTCGACGAGGAACGTTCTCTTCTTTTTCTATGACGATGCCTGTCTTGATCGCTAGTTGAGGACGATCGACCCCTTCGTGTTCTTTTCTGATCTCTTGGTGACAGGGAGCGTCTTTCCTTTCTCGATTGGGAACGGCTACGATGACGATCTCTAGGACTTGGACTGCGGGTAACAGAACGACGTGGCATGACTGTTAGAAACGGCATTATAAAAATTTGGTGTTTAATTTTAAAGGTTGATGTAGCACACGGTACTGTTACGTGCATGACGTCACGACTTTCGATGAAATAAAATTGGGGTTGAACCTTTAACGAAAGCCTTCTCTTTCAATTCACCAGTTTAAAGGTAATGCTTACCGTCTTCCACCTGTTTGCTCCTCCATCCATCCATCCGCTTTCCATTCATCCATTTGCTCATCGTTTATCTGGCTACCATACCATAATTGTTCTTTTCGCCGCATAAGCAGTTTAATTCATTCGATTTTTCGATCTCTTTCGCAGGAACATGGTGAGATATTCGGTCACCCCAGTCAACCCCGCAAAATGTGAGTAGGCGATGATAAATCACACAACTGGCTTGCGGATTATTGATCGTTAGCCGTTCTTTCTTTTTGTATAGCTGCCAAGACGCGCGGGTCATATCTTCGAGTGCACTTTAAGAATACCCGGGAGACAGCAAAGTCTATCAGTGGCAGAAAACTTCTCAAAGCGATCAAATATCTTGAGGATGTAAAGGATCATAAACAAGCTGTACCCTTCCGTCGTTTTAATGGAGGTGTTGGCCGCTGTGCTCAAGCAAAGGCTTTTGGCGCAACCCAAGGTTAATAATATGCAGTGATGAACTATTGTGATATTGTAGTTTTAGATGCAAAGGGCTGACCTGCTTTGCGCGATTTTTGATTAAACAGGTCGCTGGCCAGCGAAGAGTGCCGAATTTCTTTTGGGACTACTGAAGAATGTGCAGAGTAATGCGGAGGTAAATTATAAGTAAATTGATTGTCGAATATCACAAGTGCTGATAAAGATATGAAATATGCGTAATTGGCATTCTGTTTAGGCAAAGGAACTGGATACCGAACGGCTTGTAATTTCTCACATTCAAGTCAACCGAGCGCCTAAACAGAGACGAAGAACTTACCGTGCGCATGGAGTATGTTGATGAAGTACTTGTCTTTGCGGTTATTATCTTCATGGTCTTTAACATTTTGTATCCATTGTAGCGCATAAATCCATATATGAGCAATCCTTGTCATATTGAGATAATAGTATCCGAGGAAAATGCCCAGGTGAAGAAGGAAAGTCATGAAAAGGATGTTCAAAGATTGAATCGCAGACAAATTGCACAGAGACAGAGGTTGTTAACTGCGAGTTCTCAGGAATAAACTTTAGTGAAGGATGAAATAATTATCTGTAATTGCCATTTTATTTATTGGCTGTAAAAGTGTCGTAATGTGGTTTCTGAGAGAGTATGGGCCAACGGTTATTTGTGACCAATCATATACATGGGCTGCTATCTAGGATCATAGTTTTTTATCTTTGGGTGCAGGAAATAATCTGTATAATTCGAACTGGAAGCTGCGAAATCTAATGGGCTCATAAAGTATAAGTGGGTTGAAAGTAAGGCTGTCATTTCCAAAAGAAATATGATGTATGTTCCAACGATAACGAATCTGCAACAGATAGATTCTCAATTTTCGTTCGTCATAATGAATCTCTCCATGATAGATTGGTATATAATATTCCTAGGATTAGACTAATTATGTGACATTATTACAGCACAGCGCAAAATACGTTTCCCTAATTCACACAACAGGTATATATTTTTCGAAAGACACGGCAAATTTCTTGCGTTAAGCAAAAGAAAAGAATGCAGATTAACCGGTTTATTACACTATCAGCTTAAAGTCGTCAAGCATTAGTATATAAGTCAACCCTTACTACCAAAAACTCTACTGGGGGGTCCTAATGACACACAAAAAACAAGTGTCGGCACGATCCCCAAAAAGAAAGCACATCTAGCGTTCAACGTCTGTGTGTATAAAATAAAGAACGCAAAACCATCAACATCAATCCCATAGTGCCAAGAAGACAAAAAAAAAAAGACTATTAGGAATTACGAAAGTAAATGAAAAAGGAAAAAAAAAAGGTAAATGAAGGGATGGAGGAACAAAAAAAGTAATAAGTAAAAGAACAGCGGAAAACGAAAAAGTGAAAAGGAAAGAACTAGAATTGAAAGAACAAATAAGCGCGCCAGATGAGAGAATTGAAATATGGTACTTGTGGTGTATATAATATATATATATATAGTCCAAAGGAAGGAAAGGGTATTTACAGAAGAGAGAAAATGTGGTGATATGCAACTTGACTATTAATTGGCTACACCTATATAAAATGTTTCACCAAAGGTAAAAATATCGGAAGCAATGCGAAAATAATAAAAATTAATTTTCCACAGAGTGTACGGAAGAGGAGGAAAAGCCGCGCAGCGACTCCTCCCTCCCATCTTCTTCCTCAAAAGCAAATAAGCAAAAAAAAAAAAGACTGATAAGAAAACACTCCCCCTCGGCTTGACCTCTCCCCCTTCTTCCGACTCCTCTTCTTTTTTTTTTCTTTGTTGTTTATATTACAGCCCTTCCCCCAAATTTATAAGATAAAACGGTTCCGCCACGTCTTTGCTAAAACCCTAATTAACGTTCGATTAACCCTTTTAACAAATCCCTAATTAGTCTCAACATTCAGCTAGACTCTGAAATTTTTTTTTTTTTGTTTTTTGCAATTTGCTCAATTCCCTGAAAAGTAACTGTTTCTCTGCGAATTGCCTCCTCGACTGTAAACGCTCGTCCTCTGTGAACACATACTGTTCCTCTTGGGTTTTCGGGAAACGGTGATCCAACCGTCGTTGGGCAACTCGTTTTTTACAGACTCAGAC